TTTTTAAAACATCCACGCTTATTCATCCATTGAAAAAATATTTTTTAAAAATCCTCGTTCATTATTCCATTAAAAAATAATTTTTTAAAAAATCCATCAACAAAATAGTTCAAAATCGGATAATTGCCAATATTTAAGCAAATTAGCATTTGTCATGAGTCCGAGTTTTTAGTAACTTTAGTAATTAAAAAAAAAAAACAAACTAATTATTAATGTTTTATGGCTCACTGCTTCTGAGCGCAATAACTATTCGACGCACATTATAAACCCATTTCAAACATTCCTCGTCTCAGTTGTCCTCGCAATGGTTTGGCCATATAAATTAATTGTATTTCTACTATTTCTTTTGTTAATAAATTTTGTGGTAAGTTTTCACAATGTTTTGAATCTACAAAATTGAGTCATTTAAATTTTTTCTTTCTTTGAAATTTAGTATTGCCAATGGTTTAGATTTATCTCATATCGCCATGAGGCGAATCCCAAATACATAAGACGGACAACCATGGCTCTGTACAATCAAACTATAGACGGCTGCATTGTCCTGGCTCAGGATATGGAGACCTTTCGCATGGGATTTGAGATAATGTCAAAGAATCGCAATGGTAAACCATGGAAGTTGATTAATGTCACCTTTGATGGCTGCTCTATACTGGGTGATGGCAGGCGCAATAAACGAATTTATATTTTCGATATTATTGTTACAGCTTTGAAAAAATCCAACCCTCGAATGCCACAACAATGTCCCATGAAAAAGGTAAGCAGCTATGGGAAATGTTCCCCTGAAGAGCATTTTTTTAATTTTTCAAAATTATTAATTCTACACACAGGATGTTGACTACTGTTATGATAACTTCTCGGCGGCGAATATAAAAAATGTTCGTTTCCTGCCCCATATGTATGGAACTGTGATCCTAACGCTGTTGTATAAAATATTCCAACTTATAAACTGATTTTCGATGTGGAATTCTTAAATACTAGGAATGGATGAGAGATAATGGCAATATTGTCAATTGGCATATGTGGCGTATGAGTATTGTCAACAATCATACGCCGCATTGAGCCGCAATTATTTAAACCACAATGAAAAACACAAAACATAAAATCTACATCAGATCGTAATTTTATTATGTTATAAAAAGATATATAAGGAAAATTGAGATCCTTGGTGGGGGAGGTGGGGGAATTTTGGACCTTTTGTGGGGGAGGTACTAGATGGAGTGGGCCCATACTGCCCACGGACAATCCCTTTCGAGAGTTATCGTGTACACCAGCCAGGCAGACAGACGCATGGATAGACATTTCTAGATGGAGTTCACATGTGCTGGTCCATGAAGGGTCTAAAAATCACCATCTGAAGCTCATTTAAATTATTTTTGTGCTGATCAAGAATATAAATACCTTGTTGGGTCTAAAATGTATATTTCAACGTGTTACAAACGGAATGACAAACTTAATATACCCTCCATACTATGGTGGAGGGTATAATTTTTTTTTATAAAATCCTCGTCATATGAAAATATTTTTTTTTTTTATAAAAATCCTGCTCATTTAATAAAATATTTTTTTATATAAAAATCCATCAACTTCCGACGATTGTTTGAAGAAAATATTTTTTAAAAAATCCACGTCTGATGATCACTTGAAAAAATATTTTTTAAAAAATCCACGTTTGATGGCCTTTTGGAAAATATTTTTTTAAAAAATCTGCGTCTGATGGTCTTTTGAAAAAATATTTTTTTAAAAAATCTGCGTCTGATGGTCTTTTGAAAAAATATTTTTAAAAAATCCACGTTTGTTAAACCATTGAAAAAAATATTTTTTAAAACATCCACGCTTATTCAACCATTGAAAAAATATTTTTTAAAAATCCTCGTTCATTATTCCATTAAAAAATAATTTTTTAAAAAATCCATCAACAAAATAGTTCAAGATCGGATAATTGCCAATATTTAAGCAAATTAGCATTTGTCATGAGTCCGAGTTTTTAGTAACTTTAGTAATTAAAAAAAAAACAAACTAATTATTAATGTTTTATGGCTCACTGCTTCTGAGCGCAATAACTATTCGACGCACATTATAAACCCATTTCAAACATTCCTCGTCTCAGTTGTCCCCGCAATGGTTTGGCCATATAAATTAATTGTATTTCTACTATTTCTTTTGTTAATAAATTTTGTGGTAAGTTTTCACAATGTTTTGAATCTACAAAATTGAGTCATTTAAATTTTTTCTTTCTTTGAAATTTAGTATTGCCAATGGTTTAGATTTATCTCATATCGCCATGAGGCGAATCCCAAATACATAAGACGGACAACCATGGCTCTGTACAATCAAACTATAGACGGCTGCATTGTCCTGGCTCAGGATATGGAGACCTTTCGCATGGGATTTGAGATAATGTCAAAGAATCGCAATGGTAAACCATGGAAGTTGATTAATGTCACCTTTGATGGCTGCTCTATACTGGGTGATGGCAGGCGCAATAAACGAATTTATATTTTCGATATTATTGTTACAGCTTTGAAAAAATCCAACCCTCGAATGCCACAACAATGTCCCATGAAAAAGGTAAGCAGCTATGGGAAATGTTCCCCTGAAGAGCATTTTTTTAATTTTTCAAAATTATTAATTCTACACACAGGATGTTGACTACTGTTATGATAACTTCTCGGCGGCGAATATAAAAAATGTTCGTTTCCTGCCCCATATGTATGGAACTGTGATCCTAACGCTGTTGTATAAAAATATTCCAACTTATAAACTGATTTTCGATGTGGAATTCTTAAATACTAGGAATGGATGAGAGATAATGGCAATATTGTCAATTGGCATATGTGGCGTATGAGTATTGTCAACAATCATACGCCGCATTGAGCCGCAATTATTTAAACCGCAATGAAAAACACAAAACATAAAATCTACATCAGATCGTAATTTTATTATGTTATAAAAAGATATATAAGGAAAATTGAGATCCTTGGTGGGGGAGGTGGGGGAATTTTGGACCTTTTGTGGGGGAGGTACTAGAAGGAGTGGGCCCATACTGCCCACGGACAATCCCTTTCGAGAGTTATCGTGTACACCAGCCAGGCAGACAGACGCATGGATAGACATTTCTAGATGGAGTTCACATGTGCTGGTCCAAGATGGGTCTAAAAATCACCATCCAAGCTCATTTAAATTAATTTTGTGCTGATCAAGAATATAAATACCTTGTTGGGTCTAAAATGTATATTTCAACGTGTTACAAACGGAATGACAAACTTAATATACCCTCCATACTATGGTGGAGGGTATAATTTTTTTTTTATAAAATCCTCGTCATATGAAAATATTTTTTTTTTATAAAAATCCTGCTCATTTAATAAAATATTTTTTTATATAAAAATCCATCAACTTCCGACGATTGTTTGAAGAAAATATTTTTTAAAAAATCCACGTCTGATGATCACTTGAAAAAATATTTTTTAAAAAATCCACGTTTGATACCCTTTTGGAAAATATTTTTTTAAAAAATCTGCGTTTGATGGTCTTTTGAAAAAATATTTTTTTAAAAAATCTGCGTCGGATGGTCTTTTGAAAAAATATTTTTTAAAAAAATCCTCGTCTGATTGTCTTTTGAAAAAATATTTCTTCAAAAAACCACGTCTGATGGTCTTTTGAAAAAATATTTTTTAAAAAATATTTTTTCAAAAGACCATCAGACTTGGATTTTTGAAAAAATATTTTTTAAAAAATCCACGTCTGATGGTCTTTTGAAAAAATATTTTTTTAGAAAATCCACGTCTGATGGTCTCTTGAAAAAATATTTTTTTTAAAAATCCACGTTTAATGGTCTTTTGAAAAAATATTTTTTAAAAAATTCACGTCTGATGGTCTTTTGAAAAAATATTTTTTAAAAAATCCACGCCTGATGGTCATTTTTATGATTTATAGATAATTCAAAGTTCCCCAGGGCGTATAACTACTGGCAACACTTTAAAAACTCCACGTCTGATGGTCATTTAAAAAAATATTTTTTAAAAAATCCACGGCTGATGGTAATTTAAAAAAAAAATATTTTTTAAAAAATCCATGTCTGATGGTCAATTAAAAAAATATTTTTTAAAGAATCCATGTTTGATGGTCATTTGAAAAATATTTTTTGAAAAATCCAAGTCACGTCTGATGGACATTTGAACAAATATTTTTTAACAAATCCACCTCTGATGGTCATTTGAAAAAATATTTTTTAACAAATCCACGTCTGATGGTCAATTAAAAAAATAGATTTTTATTAAATCCAAAAAATAAATTTTAAAAAATATTTTTTAAAAAATCCACGTCTGATGGTCATTTAAAAAAATATTTTTTAAAAAAACCACGTCTGATGGTATTTTTTAAAAAATATTTTTTCAAAAGACCATCAGACTTGGATTTTTGAAAAAATATTTTTTAAAAAATCCACGTCTGATGGTCTTTTGAAAAAATATTTTTTTAGAAAATCCACGTCTGATGGTCTTTTGAAAAATATTTTTTTTAAAAATCCACGTCTGATGGTCTTTTGAAAAAATATTTTTTAAAAAATCCACGTCTGATGGTCTTTTGAAAAAATATTTTTTAAAAAATCCACGCCTGATGGTCATTTTTATGATTTATAGATAATTCAAAGTTCCCCTACTGGCAACACTCATACGCCACTTTCAAATATTTACAAATATTTATTTTATTTCTTTAAGTGTCCACATTGAATATTAATTTATATGTTGGAATATTTTTATATACCAAGGAAATATTGATGTTCGCCTCTATATGGGGAAGTACATGCGTGAACTTAATACTGCTCATTGTAAAATTATCATAACAGTATTCAGTGTCCTGTGAGGAAACAAAATGGAATTTTCGAATTAGAGAAAAAGAAAAAAACACCCTTCCTACCTTTTTCATGGGACACTGTTGAGGCATTCGGGGATTCTGTTTTTTTACCGCCCGAACAACTGTGTCAACCAAATAGATAGGTTTGTTTTTCCTACCATCGCCCAGCACGGAACAGCCGTCCACGGTTATATTGAATAGAGTCCAAGGTTTGGCATTTTTCTTGGTCTTCGATACAGCTTCAATTCTCAGAAGAAACTTTTCCATGTCCCGGGCAAGGACAACGCAACCATTGATGGTTTGATTGAACAAATCCAAAGTTGTCCATTTGATGTAGTTGGCATCCAATTCGTGGCGATAGGAAATGACTCGAAATATTTGACAATGCTTTGCGGGAGAAAATTAAGGATTTTAATATATCCTGGCATTTGATAGAGAGAAAAAACTTACCCCAAAATTGAAAAACCCAACGAAGAGCAGAAATATTTGTGTTCTAAGGAACAACAGCATTTTTTGTGCAATATTTTTTGTAAAAGAAAATATTGTGAATTTATTTCATTTTGATAGAGATGTTTTTATTACATATGGAGAATTTGCATTTTCAATTATTTTCCAATTAAATGCTGACATATTTATATAATAATTATTATACTGAAATAAACAAATAAGACTCGTTTTTATAATTATTTGATGACAGATTAATAGAAGGTATTCAGTTAACCATAAAACGTAGGTTTCAGTAACACAATAAAATTTTTTTCAAATGACCATCAGACATAGATTTAAAAAAAAAAAATTCAAATGACCATTAGACGTGGATTTTTTAAAAAAATATTTTTTTAAAGGACCATCAGAAGTAAGCTTTATAAAAATTTATTTTTTCAAATGACCATCAGACATGGATTTTTTAAAAAATATTTTTTTTAATGACCATCAGACGTAGATTTTTAAAAAAATATTTGTTTCAAACGACCATCAGACGTGGATTTTTTAAAAAAAATATTTTTTCAAATGACTATCAGACAGGGATTTTTAAAAAAAAATATTTTTTTAATTGATCATTAGACGTGGATTTTTAAAAAAATATTTTTTTCAAACGACCATCAGACGTGGATTTTTTAAAAAATATATTTTTCCAAATGACCATCAGACAGGGATTTTAAAAAAAAAAAAATTTTAATTGATCATTAGACGTGGATTTTTAAAAAAATATTTTTTTCAAACGACCATCAGACGTGGATTTTTTAAAAAAATATTTTTCCAAATGACCATCAGACAGGGATTTTTAAAAAAAAATATTTTTTTAATTGATCATTAGACGTGGATTTTTAAAACAAAAATTTTAAAGGACCATCAGAAGTAAACTAAAAAAAAATTTTTCAAATGACCATCAGACGTGGATTTTTTAAAAAAATATTTTTTTAAATGACCATCAGACGTGGATTTTTTTTTAAAATATTTTTTTAAATGACCATCAGACGTGGATTTTTTTAAAAATATTTTTTTAAATGACCATCAGACGTGGATTTTTTTAAAAATATTTTTTTAAATGACCATCAGACGTGGATTTTTTTAAAAATATTTTTTAAATGACGTGGATTTTTTAAAAAATATTTTTTTCAAATGACGTGGATTTGTTAAGAAATATTTTTTTCAAATGACGTGGATTTGTTATAAAATATTTTTTTCAAATGACGTGGATTTGTTAAAAAATATTTTTTTCAAATGACGTGGATTTGTTAAAAAATATTTTTTCAAATGACGTGGATTTTTTAAAAAAATATTTAAAAAAAATATTTTTTCAAATGACGTGGATTTTTTAAAAAAATATTAAAAAAAAAATATTTTTTCAAATGTCGTGGATTTTTTAAAAAATATTTTTTTAAATGACCATCAGTCGTGGATTTTTTAAAAAATACTTTTTAAATGACCATCAATCGTGGATTTTTTAAAAAATATTTTTTTAAATGACCGCAAGACATGGATTTTTTAAAAAATATTTTTTCAGATGACAATCAGACGTGGATTTTGTAAAAAATATTTTTTTAAATGGCCATCAGTCGTGGATTTTTTAAAAAATATTTTTTCAAATGACCATCAGACGTGGATTTTTTAAAAAATATTTTTTCAAATGACCATCAGACGTGGATTTTTTAAAAAATATTTCTTTTAATGACCATCAGACGTGGTTTTTTTAAAAAATATTTTTTTAAATGACCATCAAACGTGGATTTTTTAAAAAATATTTTTTAAAATTTATTTTTTGGATTTAATAAAAATCTATTTTTTTAATTGACCATCAGACGTGGATTTGTTAAAAAATATTTTTTCAAATGACCATCAGAGGTGGATTTTTTAAAAAATATTTCTTTTAATGACCATCAGACGTGGTTTTTTTAAAAAATATTTTTTTAAATGACCATCAAACGTGGATTTTTTAAAAAATATTTTTTAAAATTTATTTTTTGGATTTAATAAAAATCAATTTTTTTAATTGACCATCAGACGTGGATTTGTTAAAAAATATTTTTTCAAATGACCATCAGAGGTGGATTTGTTAAAAAATATTTGTTCAAATGTCCATCAGACGTGACTTGGATTTTTCAAAAAATATTTTTCAAATGACCATCAAACATGGATTCTTTAAAAAATATTTTTTCAAATGACCATCAGACGTGGATTTTTTAAAAAATATTTTTTCAAATGACCATCAGACGTGGATTTTTTAAAAAATATTTCTTTTAATGACCATCAGACGTGGTTTTTTTAAAAAATATTTTTTAAATGACCATCAAACGTGGATTTTTTAAAAAATATGTTTTAAAATTTATTTTTTGGATTTAATAAAAATCTATTTTTTTAATTGACCATCAGACGTGGATTTGTTAAAAATATTTTTTCAAATGACCATCAGAGGTGGATTTGTTAAAAAATATTTGTTCAAATGTCCATCAGACGTGACTTGGATTTTTCAAAAAATATTTTTCAAATGACCATCAAACATGGATTCTTTAAAAAATATTTTTTTAATTGACCATCAGACATGGATTTTTTAAAAAATATTTTTTTTTAAATTACCATCAGCCGTGGATTTTTTAAAAAATATTTTTTTAAATGACCATCAGACGTGGAGTTTTTAAAAAATATTTTTTTTAAATGATGTGGCCATCAGACGTGGATTTTTAAAAAAAAAAATTTTTTAAATGACCATCAGACGTGGATTTTTTAAAAACCATTTTTTTAAATGACCATCAGACGTGGATTTTTTAAAAAAATAATTTTTTAATTGACCATCAGACGTGGATTATTTTTTTGGAAAATTTATATAAATATTTTTATGACATACAGTGGAAATGGAGATTTCTTTTCTTTGGTGACCTCCTGTGATATTTGATGAGGAATATTTTTGTCTTTATAGTCCTTCTTCTAAAATGATGCTTTGTTGAAGAATTTTGTACAAACTCACACCGAGTACGGCTTTAACCCTAGAAAGTGGTTTTAATACATAAATTATTGGCGTTAAGGTACAATTTAGACTTTTAGTGTTCTCTAGGACCTATAGTGAAATTTTGTGTGGAAGATTTCTTCTATTGGCACCTTCTGCCTAAAACGAAATTTTATTTCCATTTCAGGCATCAACTCGAAAAAAGTCCGAGAAAAATTGATCAAACAATTAGGGATTTTTTTCAGCTTTTTTTTTTCGGAACATTGATGTGCATATTTTTATGAAATGCAGTGGAAATACAGATTTCTTTTCATTGGTGACCTCCAGTGAAATTCGTTGAGGAATATTTTTGTCTTTAACGTCCTCCTTCTAAAATGATGCTTTGTTGAAGAATTTTGCCGAAGGTCACAAAGAGTACTGCTTTAACCCTAATATATATTTTAAATATGTTCGTATTCCTGGCGTCTTGACCATCTTGAGGGCTAAAAATATCGGGAGAAATGTTCCTCGTATTTTTGTCCGTAATATTGCCGAAGGCACTATATATCTGAAACGCACGATTTTCGAGAAATTTTAATCACAAAATTTCCAAAAGTGTGGAAGATGGGAGAACTTGCCTGCCCCATTTAGGTTACTATGCGACGTAAAATTTCAAAACGCCAATACACGTACCTTCTTTAGGTCTATTTTTATAACCTGCTGGATTTTCCTTTTCCTCATAATTATTGAAAAAATTGAAATTTGACAGTCCATTTTTTTATAAAAATTAATAATAGTTTAAAAAATTTTTAGAATCAATCTCCTTTGCATTATCTCTTTTATTTTTATTTGTTTTAGAATAAACTATTTTATGCGCTCAATTAGTAATCACTGAAGCATATTTTTTTGTGTGCGGAACTACTCTCAATTGTTGGCGTATGTTAATTAAAAACTATTTTCAATGCACATGAATATTGAATAGCCGCATAATTTTCAAACATAATGCAGTGTTTACGGAAATATTATTTTTTGATGGTCTTGCTGCTTTTCCTTAAATTGTCGAAACAGGTATAGTCAGAATAAATTTCAATATCTTCAAATTTTGAAAAATATTTCGTCTATTCCCCTCCGAATTTAAGGGCAACCTCTTTGTCAGCATCAAATCGTATCGCGACGAACTGCGGGGGAATGCAATCAAATTTGACAACTTAAGTTTAATTAATGGCACCATAAAAGGTTGCTTTTTGTTCGCCCAGAAAATGGAAAAATTCCGTTTCGGTGTAATGGCCAAGGCCCAACAGGGCGTGGCTAAACCCTGGCTATTGTTCAATGTTACATTATCGGGCTGTAACCTATTGGGAAGTGGCAAGAAACCACCCATACTTATTGTCGATATGGTTCTGAAGGCCATTAAGCAGACAAATCCACGCATGCCGGATCGTTGTCCCATCAAAAAGGTAATTTTCAAAGACGATTTTGAATAATTTCTTATTTTAATAAATTTTTGAAATTTTAGAATTTCTATTATTGTTTTGATAAAATCAATTTGGGAGCAACACAATTCTACAGGAATTTCCCCCAAATGAAGGCCATGGTGGTAACGGTATTTATGTATAAAAATATGCCCATTTATACTGGGTACACGGATGTGGATATTGCCAAAAGGGAGGGGAAATAGGAAGAAAATTAAAAATAAATAAATAAAATAAATTATTGAAAAAAATTTGAGTCCCTTTCACATTTTGGAATGAATTCGGCAATTTTCAAAAAAAAAAAAAAAAAAAATTCTTAAAAAATCTGTTAAAATCTTAAAACTACCAAATGTAGCCGTTATATTAGGGTCTATATGACGACATGGACCTGCGCAGACATAAGCCTTTACAATATTCAAATGCGGAACTTGGAAAAAAATCGCTGAATAATGTAGCTAAAATACTCAAAATACCGAATGGAGATGCCACAACGTGGACCTGCAGAGACGATTTTCTGTCATAGGCTGTAGTATCCATGCCGAACTCTAAATACCAAATCTGAAACAATTCCGGTGAATAATGTCGCTAAAATCATGAAAATACCGAATATCGGGAGGTATCGTTATATTGGGGCTATACGAAGACGTGGACCTGAACAGACAATTTTCTGTCATAGGCTGGGGTATCCATTACGAATTTCAAATGCCAAATTTGAAACAATTCCGGTGAAAAATGTCGCTAAAATCATCAAAATACCGAATATCGGGAGGTACCATTATATGGTGGCTATACGAAGACGTGGACCTGCAGAGACGATTTTCTGTCATACCTTGTAGTATCCATTACAAACTTCAAATACCAAATTTGAAACAATTCCGGTGAATAATGTCGTTTACATCATCAAAATACCGAATATCGGGAGGTACTGTTGTATGGGGGATATACGAAGACGTGGACCTGCACAGATAATTTTCTGTCTTAGGCTGTAGTATCCATTACGAACTTCAAATACCAAATTTCAAACAATTGCGGTGAATAATGTCGCTAAAATCATCCAAATACCGAGTATCGGGAGGTACTGTTATATGGGGGCTATACGAAGACGTTGACCTACATGGCCCAATTTATGTCTTATGTTGTAGTATCTACTACGAACTTCAAATACCAAATTTGAAAAAATTCCGGTGAATAATGTCGCTAAAATCATCAAAATACCGAATATCGGGAGGTACCGTTATATGGAGGCTATATCAGAACGTGGAACAACATGGCCCATTTTCAATACCAAAAGTCCTGCAGATATATTATGCATTTGAGTAAAATTTTATCAACCTATTTCAATTCGTTCAAAAGCTAGAGCTATTTCCACCGACGGACGGACGGACATCGCGAAATCGGCATAGAATTTTATGCTGATCAAGAACATGGGGTCTAAAATGTATATTTCGAGGTGTTACAAACGGAATGACAAACTTAATATACCCTCCATACTATGGTGGAGGTTATAAAAAGAAAAAAAAAACTTAATTGCATTTTTCTTTTGGTACCGAATTTCAAATTTTTATTGCAAGGTTCTCTGGGGCGTATTGACAGTACTCATACGCCATATGTCCACACTTCTAATTATTTGACATATCCGCTTCGAAAATTAACTTATATGTTGGTATGTTTTTATAGAGAATTGTCAAGTTGGCATTTGTCCGGATATGGGGCATAAATCGAGAATTTTTACCACTGCCCAGGGAGAAGTTGTCATAACAATATTCAACGTCCTGGGAAAGAAAAAAAAAAAGAAAAAATTTTCAAAAAAAAAATCTCAAAAAAGGACAAAAATATATTTACCTTCTTCAGGGGACATTGTTGTGGCATTCGTGGATTGTGTTTTTTCAAAGCTCTCAGAATACTATCCACAATGAAAATCGATTTAATTTCCTAACCATCAGCCAACAAAGAACAGCCATCCATGGTTAAGTTGAACAATGTCCAGGGTTTTCCTAAACGATTTTTCGACACAGCCTCAAATCTCAAATTAAATTTCTCCATATTCTGGGCCAATTCAATGCAGCCGTTTATGGTTTGATTGGTCAACGTAATTGTTGTACATTTTACATATTTGCGATTCCACTCTTGGCGATAGGAAAGAAATCGAAAGGAATGGCAGGACTATAAGGGGAAAAAAAAATAAAAAAAATAAAAAAAATAAAAAAATAAATAAAATAGAATAAAAAATAAATAAAAATATGTCGTAACAGTTAACATTTTTAATTTTCGCAAAACTCACCACAAACATTGGCATAGAAAAAATTAGTAAAAATACTATAATTTCATGCGGCCAAATCATTTTGCTTGAAATTGGGTAAAACAAACTTTTCAAAATAAAGTTATTTCATTATTTGCTATTTTCGAGTACCACCACAAGTGAACCATGAAAAATTGGCCAATTGAACATTCAAAAGTCAAAGGCATGACCAATATAAATTCAATGAATATGATTAAGTCGGATGATTTTTGATAATTGAATATTTAATGGGTATTAAGTAAAAATAAAAAAAAAATAGATACGACTTGGGAATTTTGCAAAATATTTTTTTTTCAAGGACCAGTGAATTAAATACCAAATCGGGATATTCCTAAAAAATTATTTTAAAATCCAAGCTTAAAATTTCCAAAAATTCCATAAAAAATTTACGCCTTGGCATATCTCAAAAATTCTTTAAAAATCCACGTCTTTAAATCTCTGTAAATTCTTTAAAAATCCATGCCTTGAAATCTTTAAAAATTCTATAAAAATCCATGCCTTGAAATCTTTAAAAATTCTTTAAAAATCCATGCCTTGAAATCTCTAAAAATTCTTTAGAAATCCATGCCTTGAAATCTTTAAAAATTCTTTAAAAATCCTCGCCTTGAAATCTTTAAAAATTCTTTAAAAATCCTCGCCTTGAAATTTCTGAAAATTCTTTAAAAATCCACGCCTTGAAATCTTCCGAAAATTCTTTAAAAATCCACGCCTTGAAATCTTCTGAAAATTCTTTAAAAATCCACGCCTTGAAATTTCTCTAAAAATTCTTTACAATCTTCAAAAAATTCTTTAAAAATCCACGCCTTGAAATTTCTGAAAAATTCTTTAAAATCCAAGCCTTGAAATCTGCAAAAAATCTTTAAAACTCCACCCTTGAAATCTCTAAAAATTCTTTAAAAATCCACACCTTGAAAATTCTGAAAAATTCTTTAAAAATCCATGCCTTGAAATCCCTAAAAATTCTTTAAAAATCCATGCTCTGAAATCTCAAAAAATTCTTTAAAAATCCACACCTTAAAATCTTTAAAAATTCTTTAAAAATACATGCTTTGAAATCTCTAAAAATTCTTAAAAAATCCATGCCTTGAAATCTCTAAAAATTCTTTAAAAATCCACGCCTTGAAATCTTCCAAAAATTCTTTAAAAATCGACGCCTTGAAATTTATGAAAAATTCTCTAAAAATCCACACCTTGAAATCTTTAAAAATTCTTTAAAAATCCATGCTTTGAAATCTCTAAAAATTCTTAAAAAATCCATGCCTTGAAATCCCTAAAAATTCTTTAAAAAATACACGCCTTGAAATCTTCCAAAAATTCTTTAAAAATCGACGCCTTGAAATTTATGAAAAATTCTCTAAAAATCCATGCCTTGAAATCCCTAAAAATTCTTTAAAAATCCACGCCTTGAAATCTCTAAAAATTCTTTAAAAATCCACGCCTTGAAATCTCTAAAAATTCTTTAAAAATCCAGGCCTTGAAATCTTTAAAAATTCTTTAAAAATACATGCTTTGAAATCTCTAAAAATTCTTTAAAAATTCACGCCTTGAAATTTCTGAAAAATTTTTTAAAAATCCACGCCTTGAAATCTCTAAAAATATCTTTAAAAATCCACGCCTGGAAATCTCTAAAAATTCTTTAAAAATCCACGCCTTGAAATCTCTGAAAAATTCTTTAAAAATCCATGCCTTGAAATCTGTAAAAATTCTAGAAAATTCAAGCCTGTAAAAATTCTAAAAAAATGCAAACCTTGAAATTTCTAAAAATTCTTTAAAAATTCATGCCTTGAAATCTGTAAAAATTCTAGAAAATTCAAGCCTAGAAATCTCTAAAAATTCTTTAAAAATCGACGCCTTGAAATCTTCCAATAATTCTTTAAAAATCCACGCCTTGAAATCTCTAAAAATTCTCAAAAACTCCACGCCTTGAAATCTCTAAAAAATCAACGCCTTGAAATCTCTAAAAATCCACGCCTTGAAATTTTTGAAAAATTCTTAAAAAATCAACGCCTTGAAATCTCTAAAAATCCACGCCTTGAAATTTCTGAAAAATTCTTTAAAAAATCCCAGCTTTGAAATCTTCCTCGACTTGAAATTTCTCAAAAATTCTTTTAAAAATCCTCGCCTTGGTTAAGGGAAGAATCTTTTAAAGAAGATTAAATTCTTTAAAAACAACCCACCCCTTCGATAGGGAAAGAAATCTTCTTTCTTCAAAGGAAGAAAACTCCAAAAATTCTTTAAAAAAATCCACGCCTTGGCCAAGAGAAAAAATCTCCAAAAATTCTTTAAAAAAATCCACGCCTTGGCCAAGAGAAAAAATCTCCAAAAATTCTTTAAAAAAATCCACGCCTTGGCCAAGAGAAAAAATCTCCAAAAATTCTTTAAAAAAATCCACGCCTTGGCCAAGAGAAAAAATCTCCAAAAATTCTTTAAAAAAATTCACGCCTTGGCTAAGGGAAAAAATCTGCAAAAATTCTTTAAAAAAATCCACGCCTTGGCTAAGGGAAAAAATCTGCAAAAATTCTTTAAAAAATCCACGCCTTTGCTAAGGGAAAACATCTCCAAAAATACTTTAAAAAATCCACGCTTTTGCTAAGGGAAAATATTTCCAAAAACTCTTTAAAAAATCCGCGCCTTGGTTAAGGGAAAAAATCTCCAAAAACTCTTTAAAAAATCCGCGCCTTGGTTAAGGGAAGAAATCTGCAAAAATTCTTGAAAAAATCCATGCCTTGGCCAAGAGAAAAAATCTCCAAAAATTCTTTAAAAAAATCCACGGCATGGCAAAAAGAAAAAAATCTGCAAAATTCTTTAAAAAATCCACGCCTTGGCTAAGGGAAAAAATCTGCAAAAATTCTTTAAAAATCCACGCTTTGGCCAATGGAAGAAATCTCCAAAAATTCTTTAAAAAAATCCATGCCTTGGCCAAGAGAAAAAATCTCCAAAGGAAGAAATATCCAAAAATTCTTTAAAAAATCCACGCCTTGACCAAGGGAAGAAACCTCGAAAAATTCTTTAAAAAATCCAAGCCTTGACCAAGGGAAAAAATCTCCAAAAATTCTTTAAAAAATCCACACCTTGGCTAAGTGATTTCATCTCCAAAAATTTCTTAAAAAATCCATTTCTTGACGAATATAAGGATTCTCCAAAAAATCCTTTAAAAAAATCCACCCCATGCCCAAGTGAAAAAAATCTCCAAATAGGTGTCCAAAAATTCTTGACAGATATGTCACCAATTTTTTTTTATTTTTTTTTGAAAAATCCACGCCTTGGCTATGTAAAAAAAATCCAAAGATGTATCCAAAAATGATTTTGGAAAATCCACGCCTTGACTACGTGAAATAATTTTTCCAAATTTTTTTTTTTTTAAAGCCAGTCTATCCTTATAATGAAGTCTCCAAAAATTCTAGAGAAAGTGATCTCCAAAAATTCTTTAAGAAATCCACGCTTTGACTTGAGAAGGAGTTCTTCAAAAATTGTTGAGAAAGAGGTCTCCAAAAATTCTTTAAAAAATCCACGCCTTGTCTTGTGGATGGGAGCTTCAAAAAATCTTTACAAATTTCAAGCCTTTCCTTGAGAAAGAGGTCTCCAAAAAATCTTTAAAAATTTCAAGCCTTTCCTTGAGAAAGGGGTCTCCAAAAAATCTTTAAAAATTTCAAGACTTGCCTTAAGGAAGAGGTCTCCAAAATTTTTTTAAAAATCCACGCCTTGTCTTGGTTATGGGAGCTCCAAAAATTCTTTAAAAAATCCACGCCTTGTCTTGAGCATGGGAGCTTCAAAAATTCTTTAAAAAATCCACTCCTTACCTGACGACGAGACCCCTAAGAATTCTTTAAAAAAATCTTAAAAAGCCTCCAAAAAATCGTTATTTTTTATAAAAATTGAATTTTTTAAAAATATTTTTTTAATAAAATTAATAAAATATTATTTTTCTAATTTTTTCAAGTTTTTTCCTCCCCCCTTCAAGAAAGCCATTTCTTTTTTTCATATTTAGCATTTTTATTGAATTTTATTGTTTTGTTTTTTTTTTTTTGTTTGTTCTTTATATGCTTAAACATAATATTATTTACCAACTTATAGTATATAATATATTCCTTGTTTCATATATATAATAGATATATATTTTTTATATATATTTCATTTTTCTTTGTATATATATTTTGGATTTGATTTTGAAGAAGAGACCAAGACCTATTTTGTCCTAGAAAAAAATATAATAATTTTGGATCTTGTGTGATCCCTGGGTGGAAGATATGCAGGACATTTTTTTTTTGGGCACAAAATATGTCTTGGTCTAACTGTTTGGGGTTGTCATCAATGGATTTTTTTACTTAGCCTTAGATATAGTATTTCTGGGTATATATTTACATTATTTATTATTATCAGCAACATTTAAATTAGATCTTTTTTTTCGTTTTGCTAACAATGGCAATGGTTTTTTTTATATATTTTTATTATTGTATATAGTTTTATGTTTTATATAAGAAATTTCCAATAGATAAATAGATTTAAATATGTTTTTTAATATTTAAATTAAATATGAAAATTATATTAAAAAAAATCAAAAATTTAGAAAAAATACAGGGGGTCCCTGTAGGTCCATTGGAGCTTTTTAAGAAATTATTCTAGACATTCAAGACATCTGGAAAGTCTTCTATGCTTAGAAGACCTCTAGAAAAGCTTCGGGTGATATTCCACATATATAGGATCCTCAGAAGTTTCTTGAGGAATATAAGAATTCTGCAAAATTTCCCGGACATAGAATACACCCAAAAGGTCTTGAAGATATAGAACCTTTCCAGAGGGACTCTTAATCTTAATAGACCTCCACAAGTGGTTCCAGGTGTAGAATACATATAGAAGGTCCTCGAGATATAGAAGACCTCCAAGAAGACTTTTTAATATACAAGGTGAGATGAAAAAACTGCAACCAATTTCAGATTGCTGTCATTTCTAAGCTATTCATCTGAAAATCTCCTATGCATAGAAGACCTCTAAAAGACCTTCAGTTGATATTCCACATATAAAGGATCCATAGAAGTTTCTTGAGGAATATAAGCCTCCTGGAAAGTTTCCCGGACATAGAAGACCCCCAAAAGGTCTTGGAAATATAGAAGCTCTCCAGAGGGATTCCAAATGTTAATAGACCTCCAGAAGGGGTTCTAGGTGTAGAATACACCTAGAAGGTTTCTTGAGGAATATAAGCCTCCTGGAAAGTTTCCGTAGTTCCGTATATAATTTGAAATAGCCCCCCATATAACTGTACCTCCCGATATTCGGTATTTTGATGATTTTAGCGACATTATTTACCGGAATTGTTTTACTTTTGGTATTTGAGACTCGTAATGGATACTACAGCCTATGTCAGAAAATTTTCTGTGTAGGTGCACGCCTTCGTATAGCTCCCATATAAAGGTACCTCCGGATATTCGGCATTTTGATGATTTTAGTGATATTTTTCACCGAAATTGTTTTAAATTTGGTATTTAAAGTTCGTAATGGATACTTCAGCCTATGACAGAAAATTGTCTGTGCAGGTCCACGTCTTCGTATAGCCCCCATATAACGGTATCCCCCGATATTCGGTATTTTGATGATTTTATCGATATTTTTCACCGGAATTCTTTGAAATTTGGTATTTGATGTTCGTAGTGGATACTACAGCCTATGACAGAAAATTGCCTGTGCAGGTCCACGTCTTCGTATAGCCCCCATATAACTGTACCTCCCGATATTCGGTATTTTGATTATTTTTGCGAAAATATTCATCGGAATTGTTTCAAATTTGGTATTAAGAGTTCGTAATAGATACTACAGCCTATGGCAGAAAATTACCTGTGCAGGTTCACGTCCTCGTATAGCCCCTATATAACGGTAGCCCCCGATATTCGGTATTTTGATGATTTTATCGATATTTTTCACCGGAATTCTTTGAAATTTGGTATTTGATGTTCGTAGTGGATACTACAGCCTATGACAGAAAATTGCCTGTGCAGGTCCACGTCTTAGTATAGCCCCCATATAATGGTACCTCCCGATATTCGGTATTTTGATGATTTTTGCTGCAATATTCATCGGAATTGTTTCAAGTTTGGTATTTAGAGTTCGTAATGGATACTTCAGCCTCTGACAGAAAATTGTCTATGTAGGTCCAGGTCATCGTATAGGCCTCATATATCAGTACCTCCCTATATTCGGTATTTTGACGAGTTTAGCTAGAATACCCACCGAAATTGTTTGAGATTTCGTATTTGAAGTTCGTAATGTATGCTAGAGCCTGTGACAGAAAATTATCTATGCTGGTCCAGGTCTCCGATATAAAGTTACCTCCCTATATACGATATTTTGATGATTTTGGCGACATTATTCACCGTTTATTTCAAGTTTTCAAATTTGAATATGGTAGTAGCTTATGACGAACAACGCCTATGTATGTCCACGTCGTATAGACCCCAATATAACGGCTATATTCCGTATTTTTAAAATTTTAACAGAATTTTTCAAGGATTTTTTTGTTCTTGAAAATTTCCAAATTCGTAGGAGGGGTATTCAAAGTTCGGCCCGGCTGAACTTACAGCTTTTGTACTTGTTTTTTTTATCTCACCCTGTATAGAAGACCTTCCAGTGGTCTCTTGGGCATAGAAGACCATCGACAGCTTTTCTAGTCATACTTGGCAGATAAATATTTCAGATCAGACTGTCAACATTTCAGATCAGATCAAACTGTCAAATAAAAATTTAAAATTTTTTTTTTATTGGAATTCAAAAAAAAAAAAAAAAATAAATAAATAAAAAATAAATAAAATAAATAAAATAAATAAAATAAATAAAATAAATAAATAAAATAAATAAAATAAAAAATAAACAAAATAAATAAAATAAATAAAATAAATAAAATAAAATAAATAAAATAAATAAATTAAATAAAATAAATAAATAAATAAAATAAATAAAATAAATAAAATAAATAAAATAAATAAATAAATAATAAATAAATAAAAATAAATAAAATAAAAAATAAACAAAATAAATAAAATGAAAAAATAAATAAAATAAATAAAATAAATAAAATAAATAAAATAAATAAATAAATAAAATAAATAAAATAAAAAAAAAATCTTTGGGTTTGCAAGCTGGAAAAGTTTGGCTGAGTTTTCATTTCAAGTTAATAGAGCCAGGAGCTTTATTCGGTTTGACATGGAAAGCTTAGTGGATTTTGAAGTTTTCCATAAAATATTGCATATTCGGTATGGCAGAAATCAATTCAGTTTTCTATTAATTTGTGTTTTTTTTCTGGAGTATACTTTTGGGCGTTTTTCTGTGTTTGTGTGTTTTTTTTTGTTTCATCTGAACAGCTTATTACTATTGTCTTCATTATTTGCTGCAAAGTTACATGTCTTTAAATACAGTTCCGGTTTTTATCATATTTTTGTTTTCTCTGTAAAATTCAAATACAAATTTCAAAAAATTAAAAAAAAAATAATCAAAAACAAGCCTGGTTCAAAGCTTCATGGCAATGAATTATTTTGATATTTGTCATTTTGTTTGTAAATACATAATACTAATTTATATATATTTCTTTTATATGTATATATGTATAAATAATTGTATACATGTTTATTTATTTGATTTCGTTTATATTTTTTTATTTTTGGTATTTTTTTTTAATTTCAACATTTATATCTTTACATTATTTAATGGGATTTAATAAATATTTCTCAACTTTTTTATAAAAAGCTTTGTTTTTCTCAAGTTTCGTTTTCGTATTCTTTTTTACCTCTGGGGGGGCTTAAGTGTTTTTGAAGCTTTCAAAAACACCTGACTTTTGTTTATGTTAACACTAATACATCAATATTTATTTATTTGTTTTTTTTTTCTGTTTGCTAGTACTAAGCTTTCTGTTATTATTATTCTCTTTTGTTTGTTGTTGTTGGGGGTTTTCTCTATACAATACATTTATACAAAATGGAAAAGTTGTTGTTTTTTTTTTGCTTGGTTTCTATTTTGCCTATCCTTTTAAATACATTCAAGTTTCATTGTTAGGAGTTGTTGTTGTATTATTTAGTTATTTTTTGTTGTTGTTTTTGTAAGGGTGGTCATTTATTGTTGCTTATTTGTTGTTGTTTTCCAGTTTTCATTGTGTGTATGTCTGTGTTGCAGCTTTTGAGCAAAAGCTTTGAAGAAACTTCAAGCATTAGTCAAAGTCATTGTCACTGGAAAGAGAATAGAAGAAAAAGAAGCAATTATTAGATTAAGTTTTTTTCTTAAGGAACCAAAGAGATTTTTTTTAACTTTTAAAAAATTTAAAAAAATATTAGGAGTTCTCTAAAAAAATTTTTGGGTTTTTTCAATAATATTTGTCATTAAGTACTCCTCACGACGTAGATATTTTTTTAACATTTTTTTGCAGAATTTTTTGTCAAAGCCATATCAAGCATGGATTTTAAAAAAATAATTATTTTTTAGTACTATTAGAAGTGGTTTTAAAGTAGATTTTCTAAATATTTTTTCGTGTATCCACTGAAGTTCGATTTTTTGTAAAAAAAGTATTTCATGTAGCCTTAGTAAGGCGTTTTTTCTTATTAAAGGACATTTTTACGGACGTTGTGTTTTTCAGATTTTTCAAGAATTTTTTTTTCAAGTCTTTAACAAACATGTATTTTTATTTTTTTTAATAGCCCCCAGATTTTTAAGACTCCTTAGACGTAGATATTTCAAATAATATTTTTCAAATACATCAAAAAATTTACAATTTCAAAGACCCTATAAAAGTGAATTGAAAAAATTTTCAAGGATATAATTTTTTTTTATTAATTTTTTTAAAAATAATATTTTTAAGAACTAATAGTCCTTGCCAACGAATGTGAATTTAAAGAATCGAATGAACTTTTATTTTGACATTAAGAACGTGTTTTATGGTGTTTTCCAAAAAAAAAAAAAAAAAAAATATTGTCTCTTTAGATCAAATCCCTTTATCCGTCTGGCTGATATTGGAAAGGAATATCCGATTTATTATCAAACTCAGATTGAGTTCAGAGAAGGGAAATTTCAGTCCACTTTCAATCAATAAAATCAATATGAAATTTGAGGATTACTATTCCTGGGGTTTTAAAAAAATATTCTATCAACTGTCGTGGACTTTATAAAAAAAATATTTTTTGAAACATTCATCAATCATAGATTTTATTTTTTCAACAATGCACAAGTCGTGGATTTTAAAAAAAACATATTTTTTCAATAACATCATTCGTGGATTTTAAATTTTTTTGACAATTCCTCAATTGTGGATTTAAAAAAAAATATATATATATTTTTTTTGAAGCATTCATCAATCATAGATTTTATTTTTTTCCAACAATGCACAAATCGTGGATTTTAAAAAAGATATTTTTTTTCAACAATATCAATGGTAGATTTTAATTTTTTTTCGACAATTCCTCAAGGGTGGACTTAAAAAAATATATTTTTCAACAATTTATCAGTCGTGGGTTAAAACAAGAGTATTTTTTTAACAATTCATCAATCGTAAATTTAAAAAAATATATTTTTTCAACAAATTTAAGAATCGTGGTTTAAAAAAAATAAAATATTTTTTTGTTTTTTCAACAATTCCAAAATTGCGGATTTTTTTCAACAATTCGGAAGTTTTTGAAAAACTTTTTTTTAACAATTTACCAGTCGTGGATTTTATAAAAAATTATTATTGGAACAATTCATCAATCATGGATTTTGATTTTTTCAACAATTCACAAATCGTGGACTTTATAAAAAAATATTTTTTCAACAATTCATCAATTATGGACTTTCATTAATCGTAGAATTTAAAAAAATATTTTTTACAATTCTTCAATCGTAGATTAATTAAAAAATAATTTTTTCAACAATTCATCTATTGAGGATTTTATAAAAAACATAATTTTTCATCAATCGTGGGTTTTATGAAAAAAGAAAATATTTTTTAACAATTCTTCAATCGTGGATTTTGTAAAAAATAAATATTTTTGAACAATTAAAAAATTATGGATTCAATTTTTTAAAAATTCACAAATCGTGGATTTTATATTTTTTTCAACAATTCCTCGATCGTGGATTTTATAAAAAATATTTTTTCAACAATTCATCAATTGTGGATTTTTTAAGAAATATTTTTCAGCAATTCATCAATCGTGGATTTTATAAAAAAATATATATTTTTGAATAATTAAAAAATTTTGGATTCCATTTTTTTTTAAAAATTCACAAATCGTGGATTTTATAGTTTTTTTCAACAATTCATCAATTGTGGTTCTTATAAATTACTTTTTCAACAATTCCTCAATTGTGGACTTTATAAAAAATATTTTTTCAACAATTCATCAATCGTGGAATTTTTATTAAAAATATTTTTCAACAATTTATTAATCGAAGAATTAAAAAAAATATTTTTTTACAATTCTTCAATTGGGGATTTTATAAAAAAATATATATTTTTCCAACAATTCATCATTTGTGGTTTTTATAATTTTTGTCAACAATTCCTCAATTGTGGACTTTATGAAATATATTTTTTCAACAATTCATCAATCGTGAATTTTTTAATAAAAATATTTCTCAACAATTTTGGATTATATAAAATATATATTTTTTGAACAATTCAATTTGTGGATTAAAAAAAAATAATAATTGTTTTTCAACAACATCAATTGTGGATTTTATAAAAAAAGAAAATATTTTTCGATAATTCATCAATCGTGGATTTTTAATTTTTTTTCGACAACTCCTCAATCGTGAATTTTATAAAAAATATTTTTTTCAACAATACATCAGTCGAGGGTTAAAAAATAAGAATTTTTTTTTCAACAATTCATCAATCGTAGATTTAAAAAAAGTATTTTTTCAACAAATTGAACAATTTTGGTTTTTGAAAAAAAAAATTAAAAAAAATGTTTAACTATTCTAAAATTGCGGACTTTATTTTTTCAACAATTCAGAAATATTGGATTTTTGAAAAACTTTTTTTTAACATGAAAAAATTTTATGAAAATATATTTTTTGAACAATTGGAAATGGATATTATTTTGTCAACCATACACAAATCGTAGATTTTAAAAAAATATTTTTTTAACAATTCATCAATCGTGGATTTTATAAAAAAAAAATAAAAATCATTATTCGTGGATTTAAAAAAAAAATTAACAATTCACTAATCGTGGATTTTCAAAAAAAATATTTGTTCGACAATTCATCAGCCGTGAATGTTATTTTTTCAATTTTTTCAACAATTCCGCAATTGTGGATTTTATAAAAAAATGTATATTAAATATAAAAATATAAATTTTTACAACAATTCATTAATTGAGGATTTTTGAAAAAATTCAACAATTCATAATTCGTGGAGCTTAAAATTTTTTTTTTCAATAATTCTTCAATCGTGTATTTTATATTCAAGAATTCATCAATTGGGAATTTTATAAAAAAGAATATTTTTCAACAATTCATTAATTGGGGATTTTATAAAAAAATAAATTCATCAATCGTATATTTTTATAAAAAAAAAAAAATCTCTGTCTCGGATTTCTTAAAAAAATATTTTTTCAAACAATGAATCGTGGAATTTAAAAAATATTTTTAACAATTCTTCAATCGTAGATTTAATTAAAAAATATTTTTTCCATCAATTCATCAACCGTGGGTTTTATTAGAAAATAAAAAAATATTTTAAAATTTAAAAAAAAATAATTTTTTCAACAATTCACCGAATGTTTATTTTATAAAAAAATAAATTCATCAACCGTGGATTTTATAAAAAAAAAACCTCTCTGTCGTGGATTTCATGAATGGACAATTCATGAATCGTGGAATTTAAAAAAATATTTTTTAACAATTCTTGAATCGTAGATTTAATTAAAAAATATTTTTTCAATAATTCATCAATAAAAAAAATACAAGATATTTTAAAATATGAAAAAAATTCAACAATTCACCAAATGGGGATTTTATAAAAAAAAATAAATTCATCAATTGTGGATTTTATAAAAAAATATATAAAAATTCCTCTGTCGTGGATTTCTTAAAAAAATATTTTTTCAACAATCGCGGATTTAAAAAAAATATATTTTTTAATAATTCCTTAACCGTGGTATTCAGTTTTTCAACATTTCATCAACAGTGGATTTTATTTTTCATTAAATGTAGATTTTAGAAAAATGTATTTTATGTTTCATTTTTCTAACCTTTTTTAAAAAAAATGAGGTTAGAAACGAAATTTTCAAGCTTACCGAGAAATTTTTAAAAAAATTTTTAATAAAAAAAAAATCAAAAATTCAAATTTAAACACAGATTTTTAAATTTTTTATAATAATTATAAAATAATTTTTTACTTCCCCGCCAATTTATATTCTTTTTTCCTATTTTTCCAGAATTAATATTTCAACTCTTCATTCTTTGTGATTATTATAGCCATTTAATTATGTGGTCTTATGTCCATTCTCCTTCTTCGATTTCTTTTTTGCCTCCACCCTTTCTTAGCTCAACATTTAGTGGCAATCAAATTAATCAAACAAAGCCCCGTGGAAGAAGGTCAAGATGAACAGATTTTCCAACTACTGATTTATGTTTGGCTAAGGACTTCAGTGACTCTTTACGACTTTCTTGCCTGCTTCGAGAAGACCATTGAGTTTTTCTATGCGTTCTCTTTCTTTTTCTCCTTTGGTATTTGTCCATCTTCATGTGCGTGTTCAGTTTTTTTATTTGTCAAAGGACTATTTTATGGCTTGACTGCCCTCCTCCATAGATATCATTATTTCAAGAGCCTGATATCCTTTTGCCATGACGATGATGATGATATAAATAAATATTTATTTTACATAATTCCATTAAGAGAACGTTTATTTTTCTTCGCTTCCAACATTTTCACAATTTTCTTATTCTTTACCATTTTTTCTTTTTCTTGAAATAAAAAGCCCATTTAATGGCCGTAAATTTGAAAAAGATTCATTTAATTAAAAAAATACTTCATACCACTTGTTGTTGTTTTTTAATATACCTTTGATAGGCCCAATGGGCCCATTACTTCATCGTTACCTAATTGTGTGCGTTTCCCTCTACTCCTTCGCCTACATTTTGTTTACTTTTTCTGCCATTAATTCCTAAAAGGCTTAAAGCCATAATGACCCGAATAGAGGAAGAAAAAACCAAAATCCAAGGTTATAATTTTAATTAATTTTCTTAAGAA